GTCGGTGTTTTCTATGAAGCTTTTCAAGGGAAACTATTATGTTAAGTATGTCACCTATGCACATATTTAATAAGTCAATATTGACTTATTAAATTTGCGAGAACGGGTTGGAGAGTCATGACAGTTTAGTGGCTGTCATGACAAGGACATTAACGAGGCCACTGTCAAGTTGTTTAAGATTCGCCACTTGGAACAAAAAGTTCTAAGTAGCACGGGCTATGGCGAGCCCGTAGTTGTTAAATTAATGGGTTCCTCCACTGTCATGGGAATCTTGAAGAATACAGCTCATACAACAGTTTATACAACAGTATTGATGTATCGTCATTAATGAATACATTATACAAGAGTGGATACTTAAGAGATTAGTAGTGTAAATTATCTAAGTTCCCTTTTTTATCTCTCCACTTGGGCTGGACGGTAGAGCGACGGTCTCGCTTCATGCAGGCCGGAGTTCAATCCCCGACCGTCCCAACAAGTGGTTTTGGGATCATTCCTTTACCCCCGTCCTATCCTAAATCCTTATCCTCATATCTCTTGCAAGTACTATAAAATAATAATGACTCAGTGCTTTCTCCTAGGATAATAACATTACCTTATATATATATATATATATATATATATATATATATATATATATATATATATATATATATATATATATATAAATATATTATATATATAACTGAAAACTCACACCCCAGAAGTGACTCGAACCCATACTGCCAGGAGCAACGCAACTGGTATGTACATGGACGCCTTAATCCGCTTGACCATCACGACCGGACATAAGGAAGTGATAGCCGAAGCTATTTGAACCACTTCCCCGCCGGCACTCGGATGGTAATGAGTTTCACCATCACTCGTGATGGTGAGTTTCAGTTGTATATAGTCCTGGGGACCATTCAGGCTTGTTTGCATTTGTGTTTCTCACGTGTGCCCCAAAGAATGAGGTGATTTGATAAAATGCTATGCCCAAGATTACCATCCGAGTGCCGGCGGGGAAGTGGTTCAAATAGCTTCGGCTATCACTTCCTTATGTCCGGTCGTGATGGTCAAGTGGATTAAGGCGTCCCTGTACATTCCAGTTGCGTTGCTCCTGGCAGTATGGGTTCGAGTCACTTCTGGGGTGTGAGTTTTCAGTTGTATATAGTCCTGGGGACCATTCAGGCTTGTTTGCATTTTATATATATATATATATATATATATATATATATATATATATATATATATATATATATATATATATATGTCGTACCTAATAGCCAGAACGCACTTCTCAGCCTACTATTCAAGGCCCAATTTGCCTAATAAGCCAAGTTTTCATGAATTAATGTTTTTTCGTCTACCTAACCTACCTAACCTAACCTAACCTAGCTTTTTTTGGCTACCTAACCTAACCTTACCTATAAATATAGGTTAGGTTAGGTTAGGTAGGGTTGGTTAGGTTCGGTCATATATCTACGTTAATTTTAACTCCAATAAAAAAAATTGACCTCATACATAGGGAAAAGGGTTGCTTTATCATTTCATAAGAAAAAAATTATAGTAAATATATTAATTCAGGAAAACTTGGCTTATTAGGCAAATCGGGCCTTGAATAGTAGGCTGAGAAGTGAGTTCTGGCTACTAGGTACGACATATATATATATATATATATATATATATATATATATATATATATATATATATATATATATATATATATATATATATATATATATATATATATATCCTCTTCAGCTCAGTGGTATTCATAATCAAATGAGGCTCATATATTTTAAGCAGTTGGCTCAGTTATAATAACCCTGAAGTTATTAACTTTATTAATGAGAGTCATCAAATACTAATGAGGAGGACATTGCGTATATTGATGAGGGAGACATCGTGCATACTAACTACTTCTACCTGTGAACCTCTTATCTACTTCTACCTGTAGACTTCTATCTACCAGTACTTCCTGACCTCTCAGTGAGCCTCAGGTGTGTCCCAGTACTGCAGTAATTAATTATTCTCAGTTCTGCTTCATTGTGAAAGTTCCGCTCAGTAATTATGGGTTTGGGCAGGGATCTTGTATGTCGTGAACATTGCTCCTTATACGCCACGGAGGTTATCTGTGATCTTGGAGGGGGGTAGTGTACAGGAATACCCAGCTCTTGGGCACCAGTCCTCGGGGGGTCACCCATCCAGGGTCAGCTCAGACGGTCATTAACCTGATTGATTGATAAGTAGTTTGGTGCATCAATTATAAGTAATTGGGTGATTGCAGTCACTCAAGTTATTACTTTGAGTGATTGCAGTCACTCAAGTTATTACTTTGAGTGACTGCAGTCACTCAAGTTATTACTTTGAGTGATTGCAGTCACTCAAGTCATTATTTTGAGTGATTGCAGTCACTCAGGTTATTACTTTGAGTGATTGCAGTCACTCAAGTCATTACTTTGAGTGATTGCAGTCACTCAAGTCATTACTTTGAGTGATTGCAGTCACTCAAGTCATTACTTTGAGTGACTGCAGTCACTCAAGTTATTACTTTGAGTGATTGCAGTCACTCAAGTCATTATTTTGAGTGATTGCAGTCACTCAAGTCATTACCTTGAGTGATTGACCTGCACTCCGGTGAGTCTGACTTGAGTCCTTAACCGGCCTCAGCCGGACTGAACACGACAGGACCGGATAAGGCGATCCCGGACCTAACAGGTCCGCAGTGGGCCATTGCACGTTGCAATTGGGTTCGCTTGTTGCAACAACCCACCAGAGCGAATCACCAGCCGGGGGATCGGGCTCGGGCTCGGGTCTCTCGAAGCCGTCTCCGTCTCCCAGAAGTCACTTTACCAATATATTTGATTTCTGTCAAGATTCTTCTTCTCGTTTTCTGTTAAGAAAAATTTGGACTTTCAATATTGTAAGTCCGTGAGGAAGGGAACTATCAGGGGAAAGCGGGAAGCCATTACAACTATATAGCACTGGGAAGGGGTCAGGATATAAGGATTTGGGATGGGACGGAGGGAAAGGAATGGTGGTCAACTACTTCTGGACGGTCGGGGATTGAACGTCGACCTGCAGGAAGCGAGACCGTCGCTCTACCGTCCAGCCCAAGTGGTTGGGGCCACTGGGAGGAAGAACAGAAGTGAATTAGAATAAGGAACGGGTCATATGTAGAGTCCTTGTGTGGTTCAACAGGTGTGTGGCGTGCCAGGGTTGGTCCAGCAGGCAGCAGCTCCTTCAGGTGTGTGTATGTGGTCCCAATGGTTCACATATGTGGTCTCAATGGTCCACATATGTGGTCCCAATGGTTCACATATGTGGTCCCAATGGTTCACATATGTGGTCTCAATGGTCCACATATGTGGTCCCAATGGTTCACATATGTGGTCCCAATGGTTCACATATGTGGTCCCAATGGTCCACATATGTGGTCCCAATGGTCCACATATGTGGTCCCAATGGTTCACATATGTGGTCCCAATGGTCCACATATGTGGTCCCAATGGACCACATATGTGGTCCCAATGGTCCACATACACACACCTGGTACACACACATATGTGGAGGGGGTGTGGGGTGGGGGGGGGTCAGACCACTGGTATTTTCAGTGACCAGGGGCCAGATTCACGAAGCAGTTACGCAAGCACTGACGAACCTGGGGCCAGATTCACGAAGCAGTTACGCAAGCACTGACGAACCTGGGGCCAGATTCACGAAGCAGTTACGCAAGCACTTACGAACCTAGGGCCAGATTCACGAAGCAGTTACACAAGCACTGACGTACCTGGGGCCAGATTCACGAAGCAGTTACGCAAGCACTTACGAACCTGGGGCCAGATTCACGAAGCAGTTACGCAAGCACTTACGAACCTGTACATCTTTTCTCAATCTTTGGCGACTTTGTTTACAATTATTAAACAGTTAATGAGCTCCGAAGCACCAGGAGGCTGTTTATAACAATAACAACAGTTGATTGGCAAGTTTTCATGCTTGTAAACTGTTTAATAAATGTAACCAAAGCCGTCGAAGATTGAGCAAAGATGTACACGTTCGTAAGTGCTTGCGTAACTGCTTCGTGAATCTGGCCCCAGGTTCGTAAGTGCTTGCGTAACTGCTTCGTGAATCTGGCCCCAGGTTCGTAAGTGCTTGCGTAACTGCTTCGTGAATCTGGCCCCAGGTTCGTAAGTGCTTGCGTAACTGCTTCGTGAATCTGGCCCCTGCCCTAGGCCCACCACTCACCTCCCCAGAAGACAAAACGCAACAGTTTACAAGCAAACGAACGAAGTTTACAGTTTACGAATGCCGCCAAAGGATGAAAAAAGATGTAACGGTTTCGTTTAAGGCCTTCCGTAACTGCGTGGTGAATACAGGTCCTGTTCCATAGGAGAAAGTTCTTCCATATAACGGTTCGAAGACAAGGTTTAGAGACAGTCCTTCAAAACAAAGACCCAAAGACCATTCCATCCACCCGCCAACCCCCCAGCTGTTTATGACCGGTTTACACACGACTCACAACTGCTGCCGTCCGAACACTTCCGGAACACTTCACTGACGACTGGTGTTCGAACCACAACGCTGTAAATGCTCCACCAGCCCGTCCTCCAAACAAAGATCCAAAAGTGATTCCATGCACCCGCCAAACCCCCTGTTTATGAATGAAAAGCGGTTTACACACGACTCACAACTGCTGACGTTCGAACATATCCGGAACAAGTGCTTCACTGACGACTGGTGTTCGAACCACAACGCTGTAAATGCTTCATCCACGTACTACAAATACAAATAATCGCCAACAGAACCTTAAACACCTAACCTAACCTATGCCTATATATGCACAATATGCTAATATATTATAATATTAATTTATGAGAAAATTCCCGTTTTGAATGACCAGCGTGTTAAAATTGATGAATGCGTCTGTGGGGGTCGACCGCTGGGTGGAATGGACTTGAGTCGAGGACAGGTTGTTAGAGGTCAAACAGACCTTGTTAATATGTGTATTTTCCACCTTACAGGTGAGTGGTGGCGCCCCTGGTGGCGGGGTGCAGTACTACTCAGTCTCCCACGCCTCACTCCAACGTGAACACCTCGCTAACACAGATGTGAGGTGAGGCACAACTAGGTGAGTACATCTGAGTACACACACACACACACACACACACACACACACACACACACACACACACACACACACACACACACACACACACACACACACACATATTGCATGAGTTACGAGGAAAGGCTGCGGGAAATGCACCTTACGACACTAGAAGACAGAAGAGTAAGGGGAGACATGATCACAACCTACAAAATCATCAGGGGAATCAATCGGGTTAACAAGGATGAACTATTCAACACAGGTGGTACGCGAACAAGGGGACACAGGTGGAAACTGAGTACTCACATGAGCCACAGAGACGTTAGAAGGAACTTTTTCAGTGTCAGAGTAGTTAACAGGTGGAATGCATTAGGCAGTGATGTGGTGAAGGCTGACTCCATACACAGTTTAGAGACAACAGAATCAGTAGAAATAGGATTAGAGACAACAGAATCAGTAGAAATAGGATTAGAGACAACAGAATCAGTAGAAATAGGATTAGAGACAACAGAATCAGTAGAAATAGGATTAGTGACCAATAGGATCAGTAGAAATAGGATTAGAGACAACAGGATCAGTAGAAATAGGATTAGTGACCAACAGGATCAGTAAAAATAGGATTAGAGACAACAGGATCAGTAGAAATAGGATTAGATACAACAGGATCAGTAGAAATAGGATTAGTGACCAACAGGATCAGTAGAAATAAGATTAGAGACCAACAGGATCAGTAGAAATGGGATTAGTGACCAACAGGATCAGTAGAAATAGGATTAGTGACCAACAGGATCAGTAGAAATAGGATTAGTGACAACAGGATCAGTAGAAATAGGATTAGTGACCAACAGGATCAGTAGAAATAGGATTAGAGACAATAGAATCAGTAGAAATAGGATTAGAGACAACAGAATCAGTAGAAATAGGATTAGAGACAACAGGATCAGTAGAAATAGGATTAGATACAACAGGATCAGTAGAAATGGGATTAGTGACCAACGGGATCAGTAGAAATAGGATTAGTGACCAACAGGATCAGTAGAAATAGGATTAGTGACAACAGGATCAGTAGAAATAGGATTAGTGACCAACAGGATCAGTAGAAATAGGATTAGTGACCAACAGGATCAGTAGAAATAGGATTAGTGACCAACAGGATCAGTAGAAATAGGATTAGTGACAACAGGATCAGTAGAAATAGGATTAGTGACCAACAGGATCAGTAGAAATAGGATTAGTGACCAACAGGATCAGTAGAAATAGGATTAGAGACAACAGAATCAGTAGAAATAGGATTAGAGACAACAGGATCAGTAGAAATAGGATTAGATACAACAGGATCAGTAGAAATAGGATTAGATACAACAGGATCAGTAGAAATAGGATTAGTGACCAACAGGATCAGTAGAAATAGGATTAGAGACAACAGAATCAGTAAAAATAGGATTAGAGACAACAGAATCAGTAGAAATAGGATTAGAGACAACAGGATCAGTAGAAATAGGATTAGTGACAACAGAATCAGTAGAAATAGGATTAGTGACAGTAAAATCAGTTCAAATAAGATTAGTATAAACAGAATTAGCATAAATGTAAATAAATAATGTATATAGACCTAGTGTATATAGGAGCCAATAATCCAGACACGATAGTACATATAGCGACTGTTGGAACACACAAGCTACTGCCCCAGCCGTCACGGAAACGCTTGGGCTTGCTAAGGTGCAATGATTGATGATTGATTAACCCGTCAGTAGCGGTGGCACGGGCATGAATAGCCCCGTAGTAAAGATGTAATATGGACCTATTGGGTCAGAAATATGGTGCATCATCTTCACCTCATCCTAGGCTGTGGCAGGTAAGTCCACTACGGGATCACCATAGCCCGTGCTACTTGCCCCGCTCCTGTGCCAGGTAAGTCCACTACGGGCTCACCATAGCCCGTGCTACTTGCCCCGCTCCTGTGCCAGGTAAGTCCACTACGGGATCACCATAGTCCGTGCTACTTGCCCCGCTCCTGTGCCAGGTAAGTCCACTACGGGATCACCATAGCCCGTGCTACTTGCCCCGCTCCTGTGCCAGGTAAGTCCACTACGGGCTCACCATAGTCCGTGCTACTTGCCCCGCTCCTGTGCCAGGTAAGTCCACTACGGGATCACCATAGCCCGTGCTACTTGCCCCGCTCCTGTGCCAGGTAAGTCCACTACGGGATCACCATAGCCCGTGCTACTTGCCCCGCTCCTGTGCCAGGTAAGTCCACTACGGGATCACCATAGCCCGTGCTACTTGGAACTTGTTCCGAGTAGCTGAATCTATAACAACAACAACAGCAGCAACCACATTCACTCCTGACATCTATACACCAATTACGGGGTTATTCATACCCATGCCACCTCTTGTGATGAGTTAATCATCAACATCAACTGTTGATGTTGTTGTTGAAGATTAAGAGCCATTCTAACTCTGCCTTTGATAATGTTGACGAAGAGTCAGCGAAACGCATCTCTTAATGTCAGGCCAAATGAACTTTGAAGAGTTAATTTTTCAACTTCTCAAGTGAAGAAAAATGTAAGAAAAATAGAGAAGGTTTGCAGGCGATGAGTCACAATAACGGGGCTGAAGTATGTTGACCAGACCACACACTAGAAGGTGAAGGGACGACGACGTTTCGGTCCGTCCTGGACCATTCACGAGTCGATTGTGACTTGACAGTCGACTTGAGAATGGTCCAGGACGGACCGAAACGTCGTCGTCCCTTCACCTTCTAGTGTGTGGTCTGGTCACAAATAGAGAACATTTTCGTTACTATCAGTGACTTCACTCTTTCACTCACATCTAAATATGTTTCACCTAATAGGCAGTTCTCGGCTTACTATACAAGGCCCGATTTGCCTAATAAGCCAAGTTTTCCTTGAATTTGTAAGTTTTTCTAATTTTGTTTCTTATGAAATGATAAAGATGGCTATTATATTATGTATGAGTTGAACCAATCCACAAGGGCCGTGACGAGGATTCGAACCTGCGTCCGGGAGCATCCCAGACGCTGCCTTAATCGACAGAGTTACGACATGGTGAAAAGAATTGCAACCGGGAGCTCAACTTGACCTTCCACGGAGCCTGCAGCCTCTCCGAGACACAAACCAGGATTTTACACACTTCCCCCCCCCCCCATGCACCCGAGCTCTGCCAATAAGCTATTCTACCTCTTCGCCCTTACTTCATTACACACAGAAATCACAATAGGTTCGAACCCTCGTCACGGCCCTTGTGGATTTGTTTAAATATGACCAAATCTAACCTAACCTAACCTAACCTACCTAACTAACCTAACCTACCTAGCCTAACCTACCTAACCTAACCCAACCTAACCAAAGCTAAACTAACATAATTAAGTCAGTATAATTCACGTTCCTAATAGTATATAACAATATTATATCAAATAAACCCAATGGAAAGTTTGTTTTAAAAATAACGAAAAACACTCTGCCTATTAGACAAATCTGGCCCTTGCATAATAGACCGAGTAGTGCGTTCTGGCTGTTAAGTACGACATATATATATATATATATATATATATATATATGTCGTACCTAGTAGCCAGAACTCACTTCTCAGCCTACTATGCAAGGCCCAATTTGCCTAATAAGCCAAATTTTCATGAATTGTTTTTCGACTACCTAACCTACTAACCTAACCTAACCTAACTTTTTCCGCTACCTAACCTAACCTAACCTATAAAGATAGGTTAGGTTAGGTTAGGTAGGGTTGGTTAGGTTCGGTCATATATCTACGTCAATTTTAACTCCAATAAAAAAAATTGACCTCATACATAATGAAATGGGTAGCTTTATCATTTCATAAGAAAAAAATTAGAGAAAATATATTAATTCATGCAAACTTGGCTTATTAGGCAAATTGGGCCGTGCATAGTAGGCTGAGAAGTGCGTTCTGGCTATTAGGTACGACATATATATATATATATATATATATATATATATATATATATATATATATATATATATATATCAAAGCAGATTCAATTATGTTGCTGTTATAGGTGCTTTTTTTGTAAAAGCACCTATAACAGAAACATAATTGAATCTGCTTTGATACAGATCACCAAAGAAAGTAATTTGAATATTAGCAGTGGTCTATATAACTTAGATCCATTTCTAATAGATCAGCTAAAGGGCGTTTTAAGCAGGATCATTGAAAAACATTTGTCTCACTAATTTATTGCATATATTTACCTCTTTATGTTATAATTACCTATGTATTATGCTTGAATGTCTGCTGTATCAGATGGGCCATAGGGCTACATCGGATGGGCCAATTGGGTGCATCTGATGGGCCAATGGGCCGTCTGCGTTGTCCAAGTATTGTACCTCACCTTACTTCACCACTCTCTCCTGCCTATTTATACCCATCACTCGATCTGTAAAATCATTCCTTCTGAAGATGTATTTAATATACGAAAGTACTTAAGGAAATTTCCTGTTTCATTTTCCTCCGTGGTCTGACATTGTCACATTCTAAATCACGTGTTTATTTTCGTGATACACACACACACACACACACATATACATATATATATATATATATATATATATATATATATATATATATATATATATATATATATATATATATTTATATATATATATATGGTACTCTAGTATGAGAGGACCCTTGGCCTTGGAGAAGAAAATAGGGAGCTTTATGGTACAAGCAACTCTAGTAATGTTACATATAGAGTGCCACCCTTCAGCGTCCATATATTCAGGCCACATATATTCAGCGCCACATATATTCAGCGGATATATTCACATATATCAGCGTCACATATATTCAGTGCCACATATATTCAGTGCCACATATTGAGTACATAATTGAGTGCCACATATATTGAGTGCCACATAATTGAGTGCCACATATATTCAGTGCCACATATATTAGTGGAATATCAGCGTCACATATATCAGCGCCACATATATTCAGCGTCACATATATTCAGCGTCACATATATTCAGCGCCACATATATTCAGCGCCACATATATTCAGCGTCACATATATTCAGCGTCACATATTCAGCGTCACATATATTCAGCGTCACATATATTCAGCGCCACATATATTCAGCGTCACATATATTCAGCGCCACATATATTCAGCGTCACATATATTCAGTGCCACATATATTCAGTGCCACATATATTCAGTGCCACATATATTCAGTGCCACATATATTGAGTGCCACATATATTGAGTGCCACATATATTGAGTGCCACATATATTCAGTGCCACATATATTCAGTGCCACATATATTCAGCGTCACATATATTCAGTGCCACATATATTCAGTGCCACATATATTCAGTGCCACATATATTGAGTGCCACATATATTCAGTGCCACATATATTCAGTGCCACATATATTGAGTGCCACATATATTGAGTGCCACATATATTCAGTGCCACATATATTGAGTGCCACATATATTGAGTGCCACATATATTCAGTGCCACATATATTGAGTGCCACATATATTGAGTGCCACATATATTCAGTGCCACATATATTGAGTGCCACATATATTGAGTGCCACATATATTGAGTGCCACATATATTCAGTGCCACATATATTGAGTGCCACATATATTGAGTGCCACATATATTCAGTGCCACATATATTGAGTGCCACATATATTGAGTGCCACATATATTCAGTGCCACATATATGAGTGCCACATATATTGAGTGCCACATATATTGAGTGCCACATATATCAGTGCCACATATATTGAGGCCACATATATTGAGTGCCACATATATTGAGCCATATATTGAGTGCCACATATATTCAGTGCCACATATATTGAGTGACATATATTCAGTGCCACATATATTCAGTGCCACATATATTGAGTGCCACATATATTCAGTGCCACATATATTCAGTGCCACATATACTAGGAAGGAAGCCTCACTTAACGACTATTAACTTCAACTAGAAACCGGCTTTGTTGCTCTTAGACAATATATGCTAATTGCTTGGTGGAACACTGAGCCCCCCACCCAGGTAATGGGGGGAGACCGGGCCCTCCTGGGACCAGATTCACGAAGCAGTTATGCGAGCACTTTACGAACCTGGGGCCGGATTCACGCAACCAGAGACCGTGGAACACAACCAGAGACCGTGGAACACAACCAGAGACCGTGGAACACAACCAGAGACCGTGGAACACAACCAGAGACCGTGGAACACAACCAGAGACCGTGGAACACAACCAGAGACCGCGGAACACAACCAGAGACCGCGGAACACAACCAGAGACCGCGGAACACAACCAGAGACCGCGGAACACAACCAGAGACCGCGGAACACAACCAGAGACCGCGGAACACAGCCAGAGACCGCGGAACACAACCAGAGACCGCGGAACACAGCCAGAGACCGCGGAACACAACCAGGGACCGCGGAACACAACCAGGGACCGCGGAACACAACCAGAGACCGCGGAACAACCAGAGACCGCGGAACAACCAGAGACCGCGGAACACAACCAGAGACCGCGGAACACAACCAGAGACCGCGGAACACAACCAGAGACCGCGGAACACAACCAGAGACCGTGGAACACAACCAGAGACCGCGGAACACAGCCAGAGACCGCGGAACACAACCAGAGACCGCGGAACATAACCAGAGACCGCGAAACACAACCAGAGACCGCGGAACACAACCAGAGACCGCGAAACACAACCAGAGACCGCGAAACACAACCAGAGACCGCGAAACACAACCAGAAACCGCGGAACACAACCAGAGACCGCGAAACACAACCAGAGACCGCGGAACACAACCAGAGACCGCGGAACACAACCAGAGACCGCGGAACACAACCAGAGACCGCGAAACACAACCAGAGACCGCGGAACACAACCAGAGACCGCGGAACACAACCAGAGACCGCGAAACACAACCAGAGACCGCGAAACACAACCAGAGACCGCGGAACACAACCAGAGACCGCGGAACACAACCAGAGACCGCGGAACACAACCAGAGACCGCGAAACACAACCAGAGACCGCGAAACACAACCAGAGACCGCGGAACACAACCAGAGACCGTGGAACACAACCAGAGACCGTGGAACACAGCCAGAGACCGCGGAACACAGCCAGAGACCGCGGAACACAACCAGAGACCGCGGAACACAACCAGAGACCGCGGAACACATCCAGAGACCGCGGAACACAGCCAGAGACCGCGGAACACAACCAGAGACCACGGAACACAACCAGAGACCGCGGAACACAGCCAGAGACCGCGGAACACAACCAGAGACCGCGGAACACAACCAGAGACCGCGGAACACAACCAGGGACCGCGGAACACAACCAGGGACCGCGGAACACAACCAGAGACCGCGGAACAACCAGAGACCGCGGAACAACCAGAGACCGCGGAACACAACCAGAGACCGCGGAACACAACCAGAGACCGCGGAACACAACCAGAGACCGCGGAACACAACCAGAGACCGTGGAACACAACCAGAGACCGCGGAACACAACCAGAGACCGCGGAACACAACCAGAGACCGCGGAACATAACCAGAGACCGCGAAACACAACCAGAGACCGCGGAACACAACCAGAGACCGCGAAACACAACCAGAGACCGCGAAACACAACCAGAGACCGCGAAACACAACCAGAAACCGCGGAACACAACCAGAGACCGCGAAACACAACCAGAGACCGCGAAACACAACCAGAGACCGCGGAACACAACCAGAGACCGCGGAACACAACCAGAGACCGCGGAACACAACCAGAGACCGCGAAACACAACCAGAGACCGCGGAACACAACCAGAGACCGCGGAACACAACCAGAGACCGCGGAACACAACCAGAGACCGCGGAACACAACCAGAGACCGCGCGAAACACAACAGAGAGAAACACAACCAGAGACCGCGGAACACAACCAGAGACCGCGGAACACAACCAGAGACCGCGGAACACAACCAGAGACCGCGGAACACAGCCAGAGACCACAGGAGTGGAACACAGCCAGAGACCACAGGAGTGGAACACAGCCAGAGACCACAGGAGTGGAACACAGCCAGAGACCGTGGAGCACAACCAGAGACCGCGGAACACAACAGGACCGCCGGAGCTAGCGAGAGGAAGGAGTCGGTGATGAGAGCTTCCCCCCCACCACCACCACCAACCATAGCCGCCCTCTAGCTGTCTCCCTCTCTCTGTTCCTGCGTCCCCCACCCCCCAACACACCCCAACACACCCCCAACACCCCCACCAAACCCCCAACACCCCCAGTCTTCCGTTACAAGGGCCCCGTTGAAGAGGTCTCTTCCTACCCCCACTAATTCCCCCGGCCCGTCCCTCCAGCAGTATAGGTCAACATTCACTCTATGGTCCCATATACACTTCACCCTCCTATATACACTACATCTATCCTATATATACACTAGTCAGTAAGCGTCCCACCATCTCAGGAGACTATAAGGAGTTACACAGTTAAGGAGTTAGCAGTCTCCGTGGCGCAGTGGTAAGACACTCGCCTGGCGTTTCGCAAGCGCCTTGCCTTGGGTTCGAATCCTGGCCGGGGAGGATTGACCGGGCGCCAATCCTTAACTGTAGCCTCTGTTCACCCAGCAGTGAATGGGTACCTGGTTGTTAAACGATTCGGCGGGGTCGTATTCCGGGGAAATTAGGGTTAAGGACCTTGCCCGAAACGCTACGCGTAATAATGGCTTTACAAGAATGTAAAACTCTTGTACACGCTCCGGTATAACAGCTACTCCTATCAACACACACATCAACTTTGCTCCTATAGACAGCTATTTCACCCCCACAGACATGGGCGGGTCTCCCATGTAAACACGCCCACCCTGATGGGCGGCGTGTCCAAGCCAAGAGCCAAGATTGTCGACCTTGTAAGCGAGTCCGTTAAGTGGGAGGGGGGGGGGGGAGGAGGGGTTTACCTGTTAATTAGCATGGGGGATTATTTACTACCTGGGTGAGTGGTCGGCTCCACATGGGATGAGGGTTACTCACGAGACCACCGGTGAGTGGGGGGGGGGGGGGGGGGTAGTGGGGGGGGGAGGTGAGTAATGGGAGCTGATTAATCTGTTAATGAGAGTAATCATTCGGCTACGGATATGGGCTTGAGTCGTTGATTGTTGAACGTGTTGGTAGTTAGGGGTTTAATGTTGGTGGGGATGTTTAGGATCTGTCTGTCTGTCTGTCTCTCTCTGTGTCTCTGTCTCTCTCTCTCTCTCTCTGTCTCTCTCTCTCTCTCTCTCTCTCTCTCTCTCTCTCTCTCTCTCTCTCTCTCTCTGTCTCTCTCTCTCTCTCTCTCTCTCTCTCTCTCTCTCTCTCTCTCTCTCTCTCTCTCTCTCTCTCTCTCTCTCTCTCTCTCTCTCTCTCTCTCTCTCTCTCTCTCTGTCTCTCTCTCTCTGTCTCTCTCTCTCTGTCTGTCTCTCTCTCTCTCTCTCTCTCTCTCTCTCCTCTCTCTCTCTCTCTCTCTCTCTCTCTCTCTCTCTCTCTCTCTCTCTCTCTCTCTCTCTCTCTCACGTGCTACAACCCTTAACTCCCATTTTAATATTAACTTTCACTCGATAGTACAAAGTTCAATTTAAAATATAAATTGCATCATTAGAGGTTCACGTCACCACCGTGAAGTATGACCAAGATCTTCCCTGTTGTCATTGTGTTATCGTCAGTGTTATCGTCTGTGTTATCGTCAGTGTGTTATCGTCAGTGTGTTATCGTCAGTGTGTTATCGTCAGTGTGTTATCGTCACTGTGTTATCGTCAGTGTGTTATCGTCAGTGTGTTATCGTCAGTGTGTTACCGTCACTGTGTTATCGTCAGTGTGTTATCGTCAGTGTGTTATCGTCAGTGTGTTATCGTCAGTGTGTTATCGTCAGTGTGTTATCGTCAGTGTGTTATCGTCACTGTACTCACCTAGTTGTGTTTGCGGGGGTTGAGCTCTGGCTCTTTGGTCCCGCCTCGTTAAATAGACTGTCTTTATCTACCCTATCAATCCCCTTCAGAATCTTGAATGTGGTGATCATGTCCCCCTAACTCTTCTGTCTTCCAGCGAAGTGAGGTTTAATTCCCGTAGTCTCTCCTCGTAGCTCATACCTCTCAGCTCGGGTACTAGTCTGGTGGCAAACCTTTGAACCTTTTCCAGTTTAGTCTTATCCTTGACTAGATATGGACTCCATGCTGGAGCTGCATACTCCAGGATTGGCCTGACATATGTGGTATATGTGCAAACTGTGTTATCGTCACTGTATTATCGTCAGTGTGTTATCGTCAGTGTGTTATCGTCACCGTCACTGTGTTATCGTCACTGTGTTATCGTGTGTTATCGTCAGTGTGTTATCGTCAGTGTGTTATCGTCAGTGTGTTATCGTCAGTGTGTTATCGTCACTGTGTTATCGTCAGTGTGTTATCGTCAGTGTGTTATCGTCAGTGTGTTATCGTCAGTGTTATCGTCAGTGTGTTATCGTCAGTGTGTTATCGTCAGTGTGTTATCGTCAGTGTGTTATCGTCAGTGTGTTATCGTCACTGTGTTATCGTCTGTGTTATCGTGTGTTATCGTCAGTTATCGTCAGTGTGTTATCGTCAGTGTGTTATCGTCAGTGTGTTATCGTCAGTGTGTTATCGTCAGTGTGTTATCGTCAGTGTGTTATCGTCAGTGTGTTATCGTCAGTGTTATCGTCAGTGTTATCGTCAGTGTGTTATCGTCAGTGTTATCGTCAGTGTTATCGTCAGTGTGTTATCGTCAGTGTTATCGTCAGTGTGTTATCGTCAGTGTGTTACCGTCACTGTGTTATCGTCAGTGTTATCGTCAGTGTTATCGTCAGTGTGTTATCGTCAGTGTGTTATCGTCAGTGTAATAACTCTTACTCCTTGCCTGTATCTCCAACTTATGCACTAAGAGGTACTGTGTCGAAGGCTTTCCGGCAGTCCATGAATATGCAGTCTACCCACCCTTCTCTTTTTTGCCTAAAATTTGTCGCCTGGTCATAGAATTCTATTAAGCCTTGCCATCCCTGTGTCTCTGCTGGGGGGGGGGGGACGGTTACAAAATTCCTCTCTCTCAAGATATTCTGCTAGACTTTTTCTCACAATCTTCTCCGTCACCTTGTACGATATTGGAAGTAAGGGGCAGAGGCCTGTAGTTCAGTGCTTCCTGTCTGTCCTCCTCCTTGTATATGAGGACTACATTAGCCGTTTTCCAAATTCTTGGCAGTTCTCCTGTTTCCAGTGACTTGTTATGCACCATTGAGAGTGGTAGACACAGTGCTTCGGCTCCTTCTTTTGGTATCCATGGTAATATTTCGTCTGGGCCTTTTCTACTTCCAGTTCATGGAAATGCTTACTTACCTCTCTAATGGTCATCTTAAACTCCTCTAGTGGTACCAGAACACAACAAGAGAGCACAGAACACAAGAGAGCACAGAACACAAGAGAGCACAGAGCACAACATGTCCCTTATGTGTAGTGGAAGCGTGTTGAACAGTCTCGGGCCTCTGATGTTGATAGTTCTCTCTTGAACACTGTGAGGGGTCGGCCAGTTATGCCCCTTATGTGTAGTGGAAGCGTGTTGAACAGTCTCGGGCCTCTGATGTTGATAGTTCTCTCTTGAACACTGTGAGGGGTCGGCCAGTTATGTCCCTTATGTGTAGTGGAAGCGTGTTGAACAGTCTCGGGCCTCTGATGTTATAGTTCTCTCTTGAACACTGTGAGGGGTCGGCCAGTTATGTCCCTTATGTGTAGTGGAAGCGTGTTGAACAGTCTCGGGCCTCTGATGTTATAGTTCTCTCTTGAACACTGTGAGGGGTCGGCCAGTTATGTCCCTTATGTGTAGTGAAAGCGTGTTGAACAGTCTCGGGCCTCTGATGTTGATAGTTCTCTCTTGAACACTGTGAGGGGTCGGCCAGTTATGCCCCTTATGTGTAGTGAAAGCGTGTTGAACAGTCTCGGGCCTCTGATGTTGATAGTTCTCTCTTGAACACTGTGAGGGGTCGGCCAGTTATGCCCCTTATGTGTAGTGAAAGCGTGTTGAACAGTCTCGGGCCTCTGATGTTGATAGTTCTCTCTTGAACACTGTGAGGGGTCGGCCAGTTATGCCCCTTATGTGTAGTGAAAGCGTGTTGAACAGTCTCGGGCCTCTGATGTTGATAGTTCTCTCTTGAACACTGTGAGGGGTCGGCCAGTTATGTCCCTTATGTGTAGTGAAAGCGTGTTGAACAGTCTCGGGCCTCTGATGTTGATAGTTCTCTCTTGAACACTGTGAGGGGTCGGCCAGTTATGTCCCTTATGTGTAGTGGAAGCATATTGAACAGTCTCAGGCCTCTGATGTTGATAGAGTTCTCTCTCAGAGTACCTGTTGCACCTCTGCTTTTCAACGGGGGTATTCTGCACATCCTGCCATGTCTTCTGGTCTCATGTGATGTTATTTCTGTGTGCAGGTTTGGGACCAGCCCCTCTACTATTTTCCACGTGTAAATTATTATGTATCTCTCCCGCCTGCGCTCAAGAGAATACAGATTTAGGCATTTTAAGCAGTC